AAAAAAAAACTAAAACCCCCCCCCCCCCCCTAATTTGGCAATAATCTGGCGAGGAAGCTTCTCTGGAATTGACATTTGCTATTGTTGTTGTCCCATGATTTCAATCACGTTGCTTCTGTTAGTATCTCATTGTAGGTCACTTCTTCTTTATTTTTTTTTCCGCAATGATCCAATCTCTGAACAAGACAAAAATGTCTAAGCTGTCCTCCGCTAATGAATGTGGGTGATCTTCGATTTGAAATCTTGTTGCGCTAAAAGCGCTCTCAAAGCTAATGATGATGCTTAAATGTCGGTGATCTCCGATTTCATAAATACTGTAGTTTTTGCACTTGTAGACAGTAGTCCTTGATTTTCGATAGATGGTCCTTGATTTGGTTATACAAATTTTAGATTGGTAGCTGGTTCTGTCTCAAATTCCGCCTTTGACTGTGGTTGATCTGAATGAACTTCCTTTTTTTAACTTCTTCTTGTTGAATGTTTAAGGCTTTTCATCAATTTAATTTTTCCTTTGAGATGAACTATCTTTTTTGGTTGCCTCTGAGATATTTGACAAACAAGAGCTTAGTGCTCCATTGGCTGGATGTTTGCATTATGTTTTTAATCTTATATTTGTTTTGTGAATGTTGCTTTAGGTCATGGCTGGGAAGCGAGTTATAGCCATATGTCAGTCAGGTGGTGAATTTGATACTGATAGAGATGGTTTCCTTTCATATAAAGGCGGAGATGCTCATGCTATGGAAGTGGATGGAAAACTGGAATACAATGATTTCAAGATGGAGGTTGCCGAGATGTTTAACTGCAGCCTTGCTACTATGTCAGTTAAATATTTTCTCCCTGGAAATAGGAAGACACTTATAACAATCTCCAATGACAAAGACCTTAAGCGCATGATCAAATTCCATGGCGACTCTGATACTGCAGAGATCTATGTGATGACTGAAGAAGCTGTTGATCCTGATTTCTCAAACATGCATGGCAGTAGGTAGATTCCTTGCTGCCTAAATATGTAGAATTCTCCCTTTGAAAGGATAAATTATATAGGAGATACTGTGCTGCAGGTCAAGCAGGACGACTTTATCAGAAATGGCTGTCCCAGTTGAAGCTCCCCTGAGTGTTGTAGAGGATATCGTGGATGATCCCAATGAGTCTGGCCTCTTGCTTGATGCCAATTTTGATGTCGTAGGTGATACAAATAATATTGATGACACAATTACGATAGGATCTGAATTGCCTGTTCCTATTTCATTTGCTGCTGCTAATTATGATGAGAAGAATGCTAAAGCTGCTCAGCAGTGGCAGAATGATATAACTGGCGTGGGCCAAAGGTTTAATAGTGTACATGAATTTCGTGAGACATTGCGAAAATATGCTATTGCAAATCAATTTGCTTTCAAGTATAAGAAGAATGATAGTCATCGAGTGACTGTAAAATGTAAAGCAGAGGGCTGTCCATGGAGAATTCATGCATCAAGATTGTCAACCACCCAATTAATCTGCATTAAAAAAATGAATCCTACCCATACCTGTGAAGGGGCCGTTGTTACTAATGGCTATCAGGCAACAAGGAGTTGGGTGGCTAGTATTATAAAGGAGAAGTTGAAAGTTTTCCCGAATTACAAGCCAAAGGACATTGTCAATGACATTCAAAAGGAATATGGAATCCAGTTAAATTATTTCCAGGCATGGCGTGGAAAAGAGATTGCTAAGGAGCAGCTTCAGGGTTCATATAAGGAGGCATATAGTCAGCTGCCATTTTTTTGTGAAAAAGTGATGGAGACAAATCCTGGAAGTCTTGCAACTTTCACTACAAAGGATGACTCAAGCTTTCACAGGCTCTTTGTATCATTTCATGCTTCACTCTATGGCTTCGAACAAGGCTGCAGGCCCCTGCTTTTCCTTGATAGTATATTTTTAAAGTCCAAATACCAAGGCACTCTGTTAGCAGCAACAGCTGCTGACGGAAATGATGGTGTTTTTCCTGTTGCTTTTGCCATAGTGGACTCAGAATCTGATGATAACTGGCATTGGTTCCTATTACAGCTTAGAACTGCATTGTCAATGTGTCGTGGTATTACCTTCGTGGCTGATAGAGAGAAGGGGCTTAGAGAGTCAATTGCTGAAATATTTCAGGGTGAGGATGTCTTTCATGGCTACTGTCTACGCTATCTCTCTGAACAACTTATCAGAGATGTAAGAGGGCAATTTTCTCATGAAGTCAAGCGCCTTTTGGTTGAGGATTTTTACGGTGCGGCTTATGCACCAAAGCCTGAAGGTTTCCAGAGGTGTGTTGAAAGCATAAGAAGTATTTCACTAGATGCTTACCACTGGGTAATGCAGAGTGAGCCTATTAGCTGGGCAAATGCTTTCTTCCGTGGGATGCGATATAACCACATGACATCAAACTTTGGAGAGCTTTTCTATGGTTGGGTATCAGATGCTCATGACTTGCCAATCACCCAGATGGTTGATGCAATAAGAGGTAAGATAATGGAGCTCATTTATACCCGGCGGACTGAATCCAATCAGTGGGTGACAAGGCTAACTCCATTTATGGAGGAAAAGCTAGAGAAAGAAAGCCTAAGATTTAGTGCTCTTCATGTGTTGATGCCCAATGGTACCAAATTTGAGGTCCAGGGGGATACCATAGAAGTAGTTGACATGGACAATTGCGACTGTAGTTGCAGAGATTGGGGGCTAACTGGCTTACCTTGTTGCCATGCGATAGCTGTCATGGGTTGCCTTGGCCGTGATCCATACGACTATTGTGCCAGGTACTTCACTGCCGATAGTTATAGATCAACATATTCAGAGTCAATACATCCAATTCCAAGCTTAGAAAAGCCCAAGAGAAAGGATGCTTCTCAAGCTGCTGTAACAGTAACCCCTCCTCCCACCCGTCGTCCACCAGGGAGGCCAACGACTAAGAAGGTGGGTTCCCATGAAGTAACTAAGCGTCAACTCCAATGTAGTAGATGCAAGGGTACAGGCCACAATAAGTCAACTTGCAAAGAGGTGTTACTGGAAAGCTAAGGTCTAGAGGTATTTACTTTATTTTTTGTTTTTACTTATCGGTTGGGTTTTTTGGTGCTGTTATCTATTCGTATATATGTATACAAGCTTGTTTATTTGCTATTAACATGTATATTTGTGTAAGCTTCTTAGATGCAATGTGAAGATTTTGCTTCAGTTCGATAATTTAGTATGTAGTGATTTGGAAAATGGCTAAAGTCAGTACAATAACTTAGATAATTGAATGGAAGGCCAACGATAGAGCTCTGGCATTGCATTTTCTCACCAAGAAAATATCTTCTTCTCTCTGCAATCTGAACAACTTAGCACATATACAGCATTATATATCTTTTGTCGCTGCTATATATTACATTATATACTTGTATTTAACTTGTCAATGTACCTGAAAAGGTTATTTGTGGGTGACCTTTATGATTGACAATGAATTAACTGAGAAATTTTAGTATTTACTAATTTTTCATCTTGGATCTCATGGATTGTAGATATGATCCTGTAATCCAATTCAATAATGCTTTATGGATCCTGGGTCATCCTTATTACCAGGCTGATCCTTGTGTACTGTGTCCTCACTTCAAAAGTTACACTCTTGCACTACTTGCATTCAGATTGTCTCAAATTTTCTCCAATGCATCTCAATTCCCTCTTTACCTTATCCAAATGCATACATTTTCATCAGAAACCAATTTCTTCCGAGTTTTGTTATATTTCTCATTAACAAATTTCTTTCACCGTTAACCCCTGAGCCACCGCTGACGAACCACTCTTCTGCTCGTTCCTTTCTTTTCTTTAGGTTGGAAATAGTAGTTCTTCCAACATTTGTCCTTATTTAGATGCCAACAAGAAAAGAGTGGGCTCGGCCTATTAACTACACTTTAAGTTTCCACCAAGGTGCAGCTGACTATCACACCATCTTATGTAATGAGAGTCGGGTCCACAAATTTATCTTTTAAATTACCCACTTTGGTATGCAACCCGTTAAAATTAGCAAATTTATAGTTAAGGAAATTACTCTTAAATTCATGTGGAAATATTAGGTCATTACAGGCACCAAAGGGTGTGGCCTAATGGTCAATGAAGTGATTGAGAACCCTGAGGTCTCAGATTCCAAATTCAGTGGAGACAAAAAAACACTAGGTGATTCTTCCCATCTGTCCTAGCCTTGGTGGACAAAGTTATCTGAAATCTGTTGTTGGTGGGAGGTGGCAGGTATCCTGTAGAATTAGTCGAGGTGCGCGAAAGCTGGTCCCGACACAATGGTCATAAAAAAAGAAGAAATATCAGGTCATTACAGTGAACTAGTGAACTTAGATATAAGAAAATGCTACAGGACATTCACTCCTTTGGGGTTCTCAGGATGAGAAAAATCTTGAAATTCTTGGAACTAAGAAGGCATTTTCTTTTATGACACCTGTATTTCCTATACAGTCTACTAATGAATTGAAATTGATTGTCAAAAAGGAAAATGATTATCAACATAATTGAAGACTGTATTGGCAACACCAAAAACCTCTATAAGTGAAATTAGTTTGAATATCGAAGGTGAAACTCAACATACAATATATCTTAAAGAGAAAAGGCTAAACAATGTAGAATCTTACTGAAGTTTTTCTGCACCAGCATGTTCAAATTGTTCCTATTAGTTCTTCCGTAAAGCCTGAGGTGATAGTGACATCTACAGGCAATGAAAAGATTCAGATGGAATATGACCTCCTTTAGTAAGGTAACTGATTCTAGAGACTAGATAATACTACTTTAATTAGGAAGCTGATCTCAGAGTGGCGTTATAGATTGTCAAGTCTTCTTTCTTGTTCAATAACTGAATAAGCTAGCGTGAATAATTATGGACTTGCTTACATAAAACACATTAATATGCTTTCCGTAAATGAAGGTTCTCAAATTTATCAAAGTACCAGCGTGTTAGGATAGTTCAGAATTATCTATTTACCCCATCTCCCAAGTAATCCATCACGTATTTATTGAATTGTTGTCCATTTTAGGATGCTTTGAAATGTTAGACCCACATCCAACATATAGTGATAAGTTGTTTCTAATCTCCAACTGAGTCCACTCAAATGATCTCATCCACTTGAAAGTTCTTGTAAAATTTGCTACTAGACTTTCGCAGACTCGTTAGCAACGCAGCTTTGAGAGGAAGTTCCATATTTCAATCAAGTCACAAGTTGAAATAATTGAATATGATGTTTTTCTCTATCAAACAGATTTTGTATTAGCTTCCACAGTCAATTTAGTGTTTTCTCCTAGCACTATTAAGTTTGATATGAAAGTCAAAATAAACCATATCTTCAGACCTGGTATAATATAACCCCTGTGTAACGAGTATGTTATTGCATGTAGATTGGTTGTTTCTCTTGCTTTAGCAACCCCAATGTATTTTCTTGTATATCCTTGTGCTCCTAGTATTGGGATGTCATTTTGGACTTGTTTTTGATTGTATATGTTGGATGCGTAGTGATTGTAAAGGTGTGGTTCTTCATTTGTCTTATCTATAGTGTATCTGTGTTGAAAAGTCTAATTTGGGAGTGGGGCAAATTGATATCTTCTTATGATATTTTTTCTTCTTCTTTCAGGTTAATGAAAAAAGCAGTCTAGCTTTGGGAGGAATATTGCTTTTCTTGATCATTCTTCCAATCTGTATTGCTGAGTTCTAACTTAAGTTTCTGGATAGTTATTTAGTTTTTGGGCGATAATGTAAGTGACTCATAAACGAGGATATTTGATTCTCTGTTAGTCTGGAATGACTCCCCGTCCCCTGTTCTTATGTAAATGTGGTGGATTCTGCATTCAGGCTGTCACCTTTAGTGATGAAAACCGTAACTTATGATCTGTGAAACTTAAGAGCAGTCCTTCAACTGATTGTCTTTTTGGTACCATTTGTTCAATAGCAGACATCAAACTAATACACGGTATCAGAACTAACCATCTAGTTGATTTTCTTGAACTTTTTTCCACCCAAAAAAGGAAAGATTTCCTTGACCAGGCTGTTTGTTTCTACATTGCTTTCTATGAGTTGTAATCGTAATAGTTTACATTATTTTACAATATCTTTTATCTAGAAGTAGCTTTTAGCTTTTGGGGAAATTTGTACTACAAACAGAAATCTGCAGTACAGTGAGGGATAATTGAATCTTCAAAACAGAGAGGGTCAGCTGTACTCCTTAGTACTTAGTAGTACTAGCCTTTGTACTATATACCTATTTCTTCTTCTAGTCTTAAATCCACATAAATCAGCCATTCCACTAATCATTTGGCCATCGACAATTAAAAAAAAAACGATTCGTCTTTATTTTTTTTCTCTAGATGGAAGGAATGTTAAAAGCATGGGTAAATGAAGTCTCTGTTGAGGTAAAATATGGTGTGGTATGGATAGACGGGGACGAGACAGAGCATGAGATGTGCAATTTTTACTTGCCTATTCCATGCACTGCCTCTTCCCTGGCTCTCCTCTCCCCACAATCCCTCCTTTTCTTCCCTTTTATTTCTCTGTCTATGACTTTATAATGTCCTAGAACTCGACAAAAGAAGGTAAATTGCTTAAAATGAAATGATTTTATGTTTGAGATTATGGTGGTCTTAAGTTTTATTTCCATCCCAACTTGATTGATTTATGGAAATATTTTCAAGCTTTATCCACTTATTATACACATATATTGGTTTAGAATATTATTATTTATGTAAATCTTGTTATTTTCTTCTGTGGAATCATGTTCTTAGCATATATTGTTTCCTTTATGGAACCCTCCATTGAAAATTTTGCCGGTAACTTCTGCAGTCTAATTGTACATTAATAGGTTCAAGCTCGAGATCAAGAGTATTTAGTTTAAAGAAGTGATATGTATTTCAAATGTCAATAATGATACAAAAAAATTTAGGGAGGTAACTTGACTGAACAATAACATGTGTCGCCAGCAGCTCCTGCCCTATCTAGCAACAGAAATCCGAACAAGCCACCAATCAAATACTTATTTGAGGGGCTGGGAACCAAGTGCTCCCAGATGTACAAAGCAATTGATGATTTAAATTTCAATAGAGTCCACCAACAAGGCGATAATGTGAGGTTTTAGTACTTTTTCAGGATGAGTGTATCCATCTTGATTATGCTTATAAGTGACATCAATAATGCGAGCAAGATTGAGAATACGTGTGAGAATTTTTGTAGACACGGGAGTTGGTTGAAGGATTCCTTCATTTACATCCTTCCATGCTGTCTCAGCCATTTCTTGAAATTTGTCCATTGCTACTTCTGTTGACACGCCATAATCCCTCATGTAACACTCAATTCCAGTGGCAATCTGACCTCTACCCTTCTCAACCTCATAGGTGGCTATGTCATCAATGACTCGACATAAGGTCATTTTGTCACACCCCAAATCCGGATGTGATGGCACGTGTCCATTTCCCACCGGACACGTCAGCCTAACCCAACCACAACGATAGAGAAGTAGAAATACGAGAATAAAAGATAATAAATAAGCGGAAGACTTTAATTAAGACTCAACACTACCCAGAATTGGTTGTCACATGTACAAACCTCTAAATACAGAATTCGAATAAAAATATACAAGTCTCAGAGTATAGTTCTCGAATAGAACAAAACTGAAAGTAAAGATAACTCAAGGGCACGTCTGGAATGAACCGCTACCTCTCGAGTATGTCCCAAAGCTCAATCTGCTAAAGAAAATACTAAGCCGAATCTGAGAGAGCTGTCAACCTACACAATTGTGTAGAAGCAAGGGTGAGTACCGAAAACCACAAGTACTCGCAAGTAACTCTAAACTAAGCAAAACTAGCAGCTACAAACAACTCCTTTCAATCCCAACCGAACCACCGAAACTTCAATCTAGCAGCAAACCAACCAACCTATACTAAACAGATCATATTCAACAGCCAGAACCAACAGTATATCCTCATCAACCTCAGATCAACAAATAAGAGCAAGTAGATCAAATTTCACATAAGAAGGGTAAACCGATACAATCCACACATCACAGACAAAGATAAGGCAAATGCGATGCAAAATGCAATAATGATGTCATGTAGTCGTGATGCATGTCTGTCCTAAGATACACATCTGTTGACGTAATCAGACCGCGCTGAATACTCAAATCATAACCCATGGGGGCCACACATGGACCATGTATCACCGCCGGAACCAGATCCCATCGGCATCCAAATCGCTAGCCGGAGCTAGTCCATCTCATATATCTCTAGCCGGAGCTAGTCTCAATTGTGTCTCATATCCATCCATCCTCATATCAGTGTCTCAGAACTCATGCAACAGATAGTTCACACATGGGATGAATAATGAATATGCACATGTCATCAATCACAATCATATCACGATCACATCATAGTATTACACATCATCTGTCTCAACATCAATGTCTGTATCAATCATAGCCTACTCATGCTCTCCTATCCCCTCAATATCAGTTATCACATGACTTATTCAACAAATTCAAGTCACATATAACACATTTAGCTCGTTTTATTCCCCATCTTTCAATTACAACAATTTCAATCAACAAATAAAACTCATCCTCAATCCCCATTACTCCCCAACACAATTAGGAAAGTAGTCATGTGTAGTCTAAGAGTTTAACAAAGTTTAGAAGTCACTTGCCTCAAAACACTTCAACTAGTAACTCAAATTTGAGTTTTACCCTTCCGAGCACGCTCCAAATCACCACAATCCAATGAATTCCTTGCGAAAACCCACTTGAAATCACCTATTTTCGAGCTCTCAAAGTCTAAAAATGGAGAAATGGGTATTTTTCAAGTTAGGGGAAAATGGCTACTGGTTTTGGCTTTAAAAAAGAAAGAAACAACTGATGTTGCAGCTTTAAAAAACCACAGCAGCTGAAACAACATATAACACCAAAGTTTAAGTCCCCGTTTGACCCTCGGGATTCGTTCGGAATCTCGTGCACACAAACTGAATATGTACCCCCACTAAATTCGACGTTCCGAACTCAATGGAACCGTCGGAATTTGAATTCGAGGACTCCTTGACCCGAAATTCAATAAGATGCCAAGAAACTAGTTTAACGCCAAAAAATTCGAAACTCAAACGGAGCGTCTAAAAATTCAACCAAGACTCATTCTAGACTTAGAATCGCCTCCCGAAACCAACGGTACTCTCGGAATTTCAATCTGAGCCTCGGAACCTCATATGTTGACCAAAGTCAACTCTTTATCGAAATTTCACAACTTTAGCAACTTAGGACCTTATTTCTTCGTTTCAACTCCAAATTCAACTCCGTAACTTCACACAGACCTGTTTCGACATTCTAAAACTGCCGGAATCGACGGAAATCCGATCCGAGTCACGAAACTCCAAATGACTCGAAAAAGCACTTTTTAACCAACTTTAACTCATAAAAACTTAACTTCTCAAAAACTCAACTTTTTACCAACTTTTCCTCAAACCAACTTTACAACCACAAAACATGGGACTCGGGGCAACTACCGAAAGGGCAAAATAGTCATTTCCACGAAAATCACCAAAATGACCTTTCGGGTCATTACATCATTCACCACTAAAAACCATGTTCGTCCTCGAACATAAAGTAAAAGAAAGTACCTGAAGCCTCGAAAAGCTGGGGATATCGGACCCGCATATCATCCTCGGATTCCCAAGTCGCCTCCCTATCTGATCGATGCCTCCACTGAACCTTCACTGAAACGATGTCCTTGGTCCGAAGCTTGCGAACCTGTCTGTCCAAAATAGGTATAGGCTCCTCCTCAAATGTCAAATCTGGACTCAACTCCACCGACTCAACCGAAATCACGTGAGACTCATCCGGAACATACTTCCGGAGCATAGAAACATGGAAAACTGGATGCACGGCTGTCAAACTAGGTGGCAAGGCTAACTTGTAAGCCACCTCTCCCATCCTCTCCAAAATCTCATATGGGCCAATGAACCTAGGGCTGAGCTTGCCCTTCTTCCCAAATCTCATCACACCCTTCATGGGCGATACCCGAAGCCAAACTCGATCACCCACCATGAACTCTAAGGGTCGAACCCTCCTGTCAGCATAGCTCTTCTGCCTACTCTGGGCAGTCAAGAGCCTACTCTGGATCACACGAACACGCTCAATATCCTCTGTAAGAATATCAGTATCAAGGGAGTCCACCTCCGCTGAATCAAACCATCCAATAGGTGACCTACACCGCCTACCATACAGTGTGCCATCCCAATGCTAGAATGATCATTGTTGTTGTAGGCGAACTCTGCCAATGGCAAGTGTTGATCCCATATAGTACCAAAGTCGATCACGCAAGCCCGAAGCATGTCCTCCAACACCTGAATAGTCCTCTCAGACTGACCGTCAGTCTGAGGGTGAAAAGCTGTGCTCATGTCGAGTCTAGTGCCCAAATCATGTTGTAATGCTCTCCAAAAATGAGAAGTGAATACTGAACCCCTGTCAGACACAATAGACACCGGCACCCCGTGTAACCGCACAATCTGACTAATATAAATCTGAGCCAACTTCTCCGCTGTATACCTCACTCGAACCGGGATGAAATGAGCAGACTTGGTCAGTCTGTCGACAACCACCCATATAGAATCATAACCACCCACGGTGGTAGGCAATCCAACTACGAAGTCCATAGCAATCCTCTCCCACTTCCAAGTAGGAATGGGCATCCTCTGAGTCACACCACCAGGCTTCTGGTGCTCACACTTAACCTGCTGAGATGTTAAGCACCTAGCCACAAACTCTGCAATATCCCTCTTCATCCCACACCACCAATAGTGCTGACTAAGATCATGATACATCTTCGCCGCTCTGGGATGAATAGAATACCTAGAATAATGGGCCTCCTCAAGAATCAATCTGATCAAATCACCAACCTTGGGCACACATATTCGGCCCTCAATCCTCAATACACCCTCGGAGTCAATCTTAGCCTTCTTGGCTTCACCACTCATCACCTTGTCCCGGATGAGACATAACTTCGCATCCTCATACTGATGCTCTCTAATATGCTCCATCAAAGATGAACGGGCCTCAATGAAGGCAAACACACCTCCACTCTCCTCAGAAACCCGAAATCTCACCATGCTGTCAAATAACCTCTGAACATCCCGAACCAAAGGCCGCCTCTCAACACTAATCGCGGCAAGACTCCCCATACTAGGAGTCTTCCTACTCAAGGCATCGGCCACCACATTGGCCTTCCCGGGGTGATACAAAATGGTCATGTCGTAGTCCTTGAGCAACTCAAGCCACCTACGCTGTCTCAAGTTCAGATCCCGCTGAGTGAATATGTACTGTAGGCTCCTATGATCAGTAAACACCTCGCAATGAACACCATATAGGTAATGTCTCCACAGCTTAAGCACAAATACCACAGCTGCCAACTTCAAATCATGAGTGGGGTAATTCTTCTCGTGTGCCTTCAGCTGTCTAGAGGCATAGGCTACAACCTTACCCTTCTGCATCAAAACACCTCCAAGTCCAACACCCGAAGCGTCACAATAAACAGTAAATCCAACACCCTCCTCTGGCAAAGTCAAGACAGGTGCTGAAGTCAATAGGGATTTGAGCCTTTGGAAGCTCGTCTCACACTCGGGTGACCAATGAAAAGGAACCGTCTGCTGAGTCAATCTGGTCAACGGCGCAGCTATAGTAGAGAATCCCTGAACAAAACGCCGATAGTAACCCGCCAAGCCAACAAAACTCCGAATCTCGGTAGGTGATGTAGGTCTAGTCCAACCCTGAACCGCCTCAATCTTGGCTGGATCAACCCTAACTCCATCCTTAGACACCACGTGCCCTAGGAAAGCCACTGACTCAAGCCAAAACTCACACTTAGACAATTTGGCATACAACTTCTCATCTCTCAACTTCTGTAGCACGGCCCTCAAATGACAAACATGATCCGCCTCAGTCTTGGAATATACCAAGATGTCATCAATAAACACAATCACGAAGGAATCCAAGTTCTAAATGTCATAGTACCTTTTCATTGCGATAGAACTATTGAATCACGACCAATATCGATTACACGCGATCTTTTACTTACCCAGCTTCAACTATTATTCAAACCATCATATATCTCATGCCAAAACTTGAAGCAACCTCATAGGTGGCTATGTCATCAATGACTCGACATAAGGTCACATTGGCTTCAAGGATTTTAGGGTTCTTGGCCAACCATTCAAAATCTTCCTTGTTAGCACACTTCATGCCTAAGTAGGACGTTGTCGTAAGCAAGTAATAAGTGCTAATAGCTAATGCATTGCTAAGATACTCAGAAACAGGTGGCATGTATCCTTCAATGAACCATTTTGCTTCCACAAAATAGTTTCTCACGATTTCTTTCATCTGTCGATAACAACCAAAAGAAATTCAAACGTCCGTACTTCTTCAAAGAATAAATTTCATTACAAACAAAAATTGGGAGAAAAAGCTTCACAATTGGTTAAACTGATTAATATTGAATTAACTGGTACAAGTTATGATTCATACTCTTTCTTTTGCGTAGTGTACAACATCGGACCTGCCATCCTTTGACAACTCCGTTTCATAATCATTGTAGAGATCCAAAAGTGCTTTGTAACTGATTTTCATGTAATCAGGGAGCCGATCAATTTGGCTAATATCCCACCTAATAAATGAAAAAGAAATGAATTTGATAAGTTTATCAGTTTAACACAACATATATCGGATGAAGAAGGAGAAATGTCTAGTTTTGGGCGTTCAGGCTTGTCTCCGATTACAAATTGTAGGCAAAACTTCAAATATGTTGTACCAAAATATGGTCATTTCTGCCATTTATGGGACCATATACTTCAATTATTAACTGTTCCAGAAGTAGTCCATACCTCTGTATGGCATCGGTGTAGACCTCGAGTTCTTTTACGATGCCATAAGCATCAAATGTGTCATCTACTATCGAAATCATTGCTATAGTCTTAGCAAGCATGACACGAGCCTGAGAATACTGAGGTTCAGCATACACTCCCACTGTCCAAAAGTAGCACTCGACTGCTCTATCCCTAGCATATGGAAGTGTTGTCACAAAATCCAAATCTTTCCACCACCTACAAAATAAGTACCAATGTTAGAATTAATTTGAGAAATTACTTTCAACAAACAATTTATATATTTGATGTTAATTACCTTGATACTTCACTGAGTTCTTGTTTGTGCAACATCTGAAGTAAGTTGAAATCCAGTTTTGCAAATCGAAGCAACACATCATTCTTAAATTCCTCTTCTTCGTAGATGGAGATGAAGTAGCGTGTCTCGACTCTTGGAATGCTCTTATGAAGAGATTGCTCAAGGGCATGTGCTACTTGCTTATTCAGAGGTGACTCCAAATGTGGAGCTGCAGACTCAAGATGAGCAGTAGAGAAAACAAGTGCCTCTTGTAAAATATCTTCTCCATGAGTACTTACATGTGAAGCTTCGTATAAGTTCAAAAGACCCCTGATGTCGTTGCTAAGGGGTTCATTAAATTTTCCCTTTGCATCTTGGAATCTGCTAAAAAGTTCTGGTTCAAGTTGAAAACAAGAAATTAATTACTAATTAAATGTCAGTGGCGTAAGTAGTAGCGCTTAATTCTCCAATTCATATAGATAAGATGTATTATATTACTTGGAGAGATGTTGTAACCATGTTGTCTCAGTAGTCGAAATTGAAGAGACAAAGTGCACAAATCATTGTAATCATGAGCCTCGAAGTCGGGATCTGCTTTATAAATTTGATCCAACATGCCGTCTATTTGTTTCTCGAAATGATAAGCAATACCAAGGCGCTCAACAGTGTCTATCAGATTCAATTTCTCAGTCAATGTTGTTCCATAAGCATCGTCTGACAATATACTCCTTGTTTGTTCCTTCAAAGTTTCGATCTCATGAGCATACTCTTCTGCAACCTGTAAATGTATTTAAAAAGAAAACGTTGAACGACTCTGTTCCAACAGCGGCATCACAGGTGAACTTCATTTAATACTACCTGATTATCGACTGAGAAAGAATGGAAATAATCACCCCAAAGACTTGGAGAGAAGTCAGCAATGGGGCGAACAATTTCCTCCTCTTCATAGTTACTCATTACTGCAGCAGCAGCTGGGGCCATCGAACAATTTCTTTTGTTTCTTAAATGTTAGGGAAATTGAACAAGTAGTGATGGAATTGTAAGAGAAGGAAATGAGTATTTATAATGAATGAATGGCGAGAGCCTTTGTCTCAGCCATCTTTCACGATTGAATTTTTTTAATAATATAGTGTACTAGTCCGGTTGGCGGTTGCCTCACTTGACTATATACTGATAACTAATCACTAGCTTCTCTATAGATATATTATAATATGGTAAAATGTTTTTTATCTTTTTGGATTTAATTTCACTATCTGTGATCTGTGCATCTTAATTCTTGTGAACAGCATGCCTTTTTTTTCTACTTTAAATTAAATCAACTCAACAAGGGGCGTCTTTCACGTTTTCCAAATTCTTTGTTACTGAATGCATGCTGACATCCTTGACTATTTTTTTTTTCCATCATCCTTACTACTAATATATTGTGTTGTATGCATTTTCTTCTAATTTTATATTCCTTGAGTCCTCTGATTTTCCTTCAGTGCATGGCGTGTTCGATCCTCTGGATTTTTTAACTACAACAAATTATGTTTTATTTGTGTTCATCATATCGCTATGCACATGAGTAGCTGGGTCTACTATGATGAACTTAGAATCTTAAATTTCTTTAGTCTACTATGTAGTTAAGGGAACTTAAAATATAAAGGAAAAAAAACATTAAAAAAAAATTAAGGGGTTCACATCGCCAATGGAGTGCTGAGTGCAGGGGCGAATTTATGTATTAAAATTGGGTCATTGGAATCCGTGGTCATCCGGCTTTGTATAATTATTAAAGAATATATTAAATCAAAACCTGTGGAATCCTTTCTCAAAATGGCTGGATGGTTCACTGGTTTGACAGCTTGATATCAATTCCAAGGTCCCAAGTTTGATTCCAGTCAGTCACAATTCGCTTGAAAAAAGAAGAATCTAAATTCTGAAAGTTTAAACTAATTTTTTTTAGTTTATGATTTCTCTTTTTAATAAACAAACTAACAAAATCATTTTTTTTTAAAAATATGTCACTTTAATTAAAGGTTTCCATAAAAAATAATCTTGCCATTACTTATAATAGGAACTCATCAAGAGCTAATGAATTGATTATCACAAACTTACATATTTTGCGGATGTAACTTGTAAGGAATGTGTTTTATATTATATTATCAATTTTGAAGGGTGTGATTCCCTTATTTTTTTAATGTGAAAGGGGTGTGATTCCTCTTCTTTATTATGAACATGTGATTCTCCTCAATGAAGCTCATCAAAATGATCTACGTAATAGCATTGGTGAATTTTTTTTGAATGGTTGTTTAGTTTGTAAGATAGAGTGGAAGATATTTGAAAATTGATAGTAGATCGTTTTCAAAATATGAAATCTCGCCGAGTACAATTGTAAACTGGTAATGATTTTTTTTATGTTTTGCTCGCTTAGTTATTGTTATTATAAATTTTTTGATCTTATCTTTAAAGTAATTGTACACCCGTTTTCTTGAAATCCTGAATTTGCCTCTGGCGGTGTGCATATCTGAGAGAGGCAAAGTATAACTTTATTTTTTCACTTATCCCTTGCCGTAAGGGTAATCTTCTCGTTGATTCCCAACCATATATTTTGAGAAAAGGCAATGGTAAAAAATTAAGAAAGAGTTTCAATAGTGATGTCTTCAATCGGTTTTAATTTGGGCTTACACGAATCTTTCAGTACATGTGAGTACTTAAGGTGAAAACATCTTAGAGAGGAAGCAACCACTCATCTTATTAAATTGTAAACATTATGTTTTATGGAAATTATTAGCATATACTGTTACGTTTCAATGTAATTATAAGCATGAAAGGCAACAGTTTATTGTTGCATATATGATGATGTTAAAATCATTAGCTGACTCTGGATTTTCTGATAGTTCGATCAGCTAGACCTTACGAAGGGTCGTTGAGGACTGTCCGCCAGACAGCAGTGTTTGAGAGGCTTTATAATCTGGTGTAAACACCCACTGCAGATCAGTGTAATATGACCACTCATACTACTTCTACTCTCTAGTCCTTACTCCATCATAAAGCAGCCATTAGAAATTTTCAAGAAAAGAACTTTTCATTTTTTTCTCAAAGATGGCAGGAATATTATCACATTTTGCCTTATAAGTAGAATTGTGTTTGAGATTATGGCGATTTTAATGTTTTACTTCCAGTATGAAATTGATACTTCGTATTATTTTTAAGAGGTTTATTATATTTGTGAGTTTGCTTCTCTTTATATTTTGATGTGTTATCATGGGCTTATTTTGACATTAACTCACCATTACTTACGGTTAATCAGGATCTGTTGCAACTGCTGAAGTGACACCGATTTAATCTGAAATCTCTAGCTAAAAAGAGTAGCTATAAAAAGCAGTGATATATATATATATTTAAAATGTCAATAATGATACAAAAAAAATTTAGGAATTAACTGCACTGCACTATAACATGCATCTCCAGCAACTCCTATCTTAGGTAGCAGCATAGATACCAACAAGGCATCAATCAAATACTTATAATTTTAGGGGATGGGAAGCAAGTGCTCCCAGATGTACAAAACAATCGATGATTTAAATTTCAATAGAGTCCACCAACAACGCAATAATATGAGGTTTTAGTACTTTTTCCGGATGAGTGTATCCATCTTGATTGTGCTTATAAGTGACATCGATAATGCGAGCAAGATTGAGAATGCGAGTGAGAATCTCTGTAGAGACGGGAGTTGGTCGAAGGATTCCTTCATTTACATCCTTCCATGCTGTCTCAGCCATTTCTTGGAATTTTTCCATGGCCTCTTCTGTGGATACACCATAATCTCTCATGTAACATTCAATTCCAGTTGCAATCTGACCTCTACCCTTCTCAACCTCATAGGTGGCTATGTCATCAATGACTCGGCATAACGTCACATTAGCCTCAAGAATTTTAGGATTCTTGGCCAACCATTCAAAATCTTCCTTGTTAGCAGACTTCATGCCCAAATAAGATGTAGTCGTAAGCAAGTAATAAGTGCTGGTAGCTAATGCATTGCTAAGATACTCAGAGACTGGCGGCATATATCCTTCAATGAACCATTTTGCTTCCACAAAATAGTTTCTCACGATTTCTTTCATCTGTCGATAACAACCAAAAGAAATTCAAACGTCCGTACTTCTTCAAAGAATAAATTTCATTACAAACAAAAATTGGGAGAAAAAGCTTCACAATTGGTT